GGGGCCTTGGCAGCGGGGGGAAACCTTATAAAACTCGGAGGCCGCGCGATGTGAGGCCGGAGGTTTGTCGTCGCAGCCGCCAGCACCGCCATCAGTGAGTCTGCGCGGAGCCTGGGCCCCAGGGGCTGATGCATGCGCGGCGTAGGGGGGCCCCCGGAGAGCTCCCAGCATGGGCAGGGTCTCTCGGGGAGCCGGCCTTCGCAGCATCGAGTTGGGGCTCCCAGGAGGTCTCGGGGTTCTCCTAGTGCCGGGAAGGGGATCCCAGGGGCCCAGGACTTGTCCAGCGCGGAATTGGGGTTCCCTGGGCCCCTTGGAGCCCCCAGCGCAGAGACTAGCTCCTAGGAGGCCTTGAATGCTCTGAGCTGGGGATGGGGCCCCAGGGAGGGCAGGCGGTGCACCCCCCAACACCCTCCTCCCAGGCTCTGATAGATGTCTCTTTGTCTGCCCTAGTGCCACCCTACACCATTGTCTACTTCGCGGTTCGAGGTAGGGGCCTATTTCTGGGGGGCAGGCGTGGCAGGGGATGCGGGCTACAGCCCAGGGACCCCTCACCCACCCCGGGGAGACTCCAGGCCCCCCCATCCCTCATGTGGCTGCGAGCCCGAGCCTGCTTTCTGGTCCCTGCCCTGAGGCTCCCGAAGGCCGGACGGAGTGTCCACCCCTTCCCCAGGCCCACCCCTTCCCCAGGCCCGCCCCTCCCAATGTGCTGTAAGATAGGGCGCCTGTCCTCACACCCCTGTGTCCTCCAGGGCGCTGTGAGGCCATGCGCATGCTGCTGGCTGACCAGGGCCACAGCTGGAAGGAGGAGGTGGTAACCATAGACAACTGGCTGCAGGGCTCGCTCAAGGCCTCCTGTGTGAGTGTCCGTCTGGTGCGGTGGGGACAGGGCTGGGCCCAGGGGGCTGTGACTGGGAGGGGGTAGCTGAGCTCAGCGCCCCTCACTGCACCGTATTCCCTCCCCTAGCTGTACGGGCAGCTCCCCAAGTTCCTGGATGGAGATCTCACCCTGTACCAGTCCAACGCCATCCTGCGTCACCTCGGCCGTTCCCTCGGTGAGTCCTGGAGCCGTGGGGGCCCAGCCTCGGGCAGGGGTGGGGCACGGCAGCCAGTATTTCTGAGCCTTTCTCATTGCTGGCCACCTGAGCCTCGTCCATTTAAGTCAAGCTGCCCAGCAATCCTGTGGACTGGAGAGCACCCCATTTTGCAGTTGAGGAAATGAGGCCCGCCAAGATTGCTTAACTGGCCTGAGGTCAGGTGCCGCCCTGCCTGCAGTTCTCCAGGCTGCCTCCACTGAGCCTGGGCGCCTGCTGTGTGTCTGGCTCGCCCGCTCCTTTGTTCCTTTGTCCCGTGGTGTATGCACATCCTCTCCCGTCCTCCCACCGAGGCCCGAGTCAGCCACGTGCCTGTCAGCGGTTCAGCTGTGGGTTGTGTGCGGGTCAGGTATCCAGTCATGCTGCCCCCCACCCCGCTCCCCAGGACTCTATGGGAAGAACCCGCGGGAGGCAGCTCTGGTGGACGTGGTGAACGACGGTGTGGAGGACCTGCGCTCTAAGTACGTCACCCTCATCTACACCAACTATGTGAGTGCTGGCCCCGGGTGGGCACTGCGGGGCGAACCAAGAAAGGAGCCCCTCAGCCAGGGCGTCTGGGCTGGGTCAGGCTCTGCTAGAGACGGTAGGGACAAGACAGTGCTCACCCTCACTGCCGGGGGGTGGACCACGGACAAGTCACAGGCAATGGCAGAACAGTACAAGGACACGAGACGGGCCTCAGTGGAGAGGCCAGGAGGGCTTCCTAGAGGAGGAGGTCGAGGATCTATAGCCAACTTCTGGAAGGAGGGGTTGGCACTTTCAGATGCAAGCACATTTGGGGACCTGGGACCAGCTTAGCAGAGGCAGAGCATGTATGCGTGTGTGTGTATGTGTGTACGTGTGTGGGCATGTGTTTGAGCGGGTACGTGTTAGCGTGTGTGCAGGTATACGTGACTGTGCTCAAATGTTCAAGAGTGCACCCGTGTGAGCGTGTGTGCGCATGCGTTCGTGAGAATGTGAGCTTGTGTGTGTACATGTGTGCGTGTGTGTGAGCGTGTATACATGTGTGCTTGATTGTGCCTGTATGTGGTCAAAGTATTCTAGCAATATGTGTGCCTATGTAGTTGAGTGTGTGAGCACATGTGTGCCTGTGTGTGAGAGGGGTTGAATATCAGAAGCTGGAGCTGCAGGAGCACCAGGTCAGGAAGGCCTGAACCAACGAGTTGGACCTTCTCCTGGGCAGTGGGGGGCCATTGAGGAGTGTATGCAGGGCATTGCCCAAGTGTGAGGTTTAGAAGGACCCGGAGGAGCCAGCTCTGAGGTTTGGCAGTAATCTGGGAAGGGAGGAACGGGATAGAGAAGAAGAGTTAGCTGCCAGCATGGGCAGGGTTAGTGGATGGCCTGGGCATGGGGGTGAGCAGAGAGCAACGGGGCTCCCGTCCCCAGCCTGGGAGGGTGCCATCACTGATGTGGGACAAGCAGAAGGGGGTGCCAGAGGGCTGAGCTGGGCCGAGGTGGGCAGCCGCACGAGGAAGGTGGTACATGGTGGCGTCTTCCGGGCAGGAGGCAGGCAAGGACGACTACGTGAGAGCACTGCCGTGTCAGCTGAAGCCCTTTGAGACCCTGCTGTCCCAGAACAAGGGGGGCCAAGGCTTCATTGTGGGTGACCAGGTGAGCGCTGGCCCTGCCCCACCCCTTCCGCGCCAGCTTTTAAAAGGGAAAACAGGTGCAGAGGCCTCGTGAGCTACCCGAGGTAGAGGCCAACCAGGCAGTCTGTGCCGCCACCCGCTGAAGCCCCTCACCCCTCTGCCCACAGATATCCTTTGCCGACTACAACCTGCTGGACCTGCTCCTGATCCACCAAGTGCTGGCCCCCGGCTGCCTGGACGCCTTCCCCTTGCTCTCGGCCTATGTGGCTCAACTCAGTGCACGACCCAAGCTCAAGGCCTTCCTGGAGTCCCCTGAGCACGTGAACCTCCCCATCAACGGCAACGGGAAACAGTGAGGGCTGTGAGACCCTCGGGGGTGGGTAGGGGCTGCCTGCCTCTCTTTCCCAGGACCAATAAAAGTGGTAAGAGAAGCTGTGCTGTGAGCGTTGTTTTGGCGGGGGGCGGGGGGTGCTCTGGGACCCCCAGCTGTCAGGCTGGAGGGAGGGGTGGGCAGTGAGGAACAGGATGGGGGCCTAGACACTTGGATTCTAAGATACAGCTGGAGCAGCTTTCTGGAGCTTTCAGTCCTGTCTGTGTTTACTTCAAAAACCAGAAGAGCCGGGGTGGGGTGGGGGGTGGGGGGCAAGAATCCAAGGCCCTGCCCTGAGGGACCCAGAGAGAAGGCTTACTTGTGGAAACAAGCTCTCCAGTTCTGGGGCTTCTTGCCAGGGGACCCGCTCCAGGAGCCTGTGGTGAGCTGAGCAGCTCTGAGGGGTCTGGCTGGATTTGGGGAGGGACACTCAGTTCCGGTGGGGGCTCACGTGGCTTCCTGCTGCCTGGTGGGCATGAGAGCAACACTGGACAATCAGGTGGTCTCCCACCAACCCCTCTCACCATCCAGGTTGCCAAAGGATGGAACCTGGGGAGTGAGCACCTCAGCCTGGGCAAGCTGCAGTGGGGGTCCGTGATGGTGAGGGGCCAGGCAAAACGGAGGCACGGGGTGGGGTGCGTCCTGCAGCACAGAGCCCTCAGAGCTCCCAGGGGTGGCTGGAGAGGAGGAGCTGCGGAAGGCTCACTTAGCACAGCCTGGAGGGGAAACACCCTTTTGGGAAGCCCTGCCCAGCGTCAGAAGGCTCACACCACTAGCCCAAAGAGGGGGCCCCGTGTAGGGGAGATCTGGGAAATCAGCCTCCTCCCCCTCCCTTGCTGAGAGCTATTATAGAAGGCTGGTACTTTCCAAGAAAGCCTCTCAAGGGCCCAGGGACGAGGCACTTGCATCCGGCTGAGGCTGTCCTCAGAAGTCAGAGGCTGAGTCAGGAATGCCATTTGAGGTTTCACAGGGGTCCTGGCTTGGGTATCTGCGTGGAGAACCTGACACCCCGGGGAGCCCCAGGTGCACAGAGCAGCAGCAGAGAGGAGGGTCAGGCTCCCCACACTACCCAGGAGCTGGGTAAGCGGTGCTGGTGCGTCAACGAGAGCTACAGGCTGGAATGAATGTCACCTCTGGAAGGACTTTGGATCCAGTAAGGGGGGGTCAAAACTAAAAACGCAGGTCTCCTCATTCCCCCATCCCCACCCCGCGCCCCCGATTCCACTGCTAGGGGTTTATCCTTTAGGTGCACTTGTAAGTAACAATGACCGTGATGGCTAACACTTCCTGAGTACCTGTTCCGTGCCTGGCACTATGCTAATGCCTTAGGTCTATTACCTTATTTAATCCTCACCACTCTTGCAGCAGGTACTATTATCCCTATTTATGGATGAGGAAACTGAGTCACAGAAAGTTTAAGTGACATGCTCACGTGTGAACTGAGGAGTTAACCAGGTTATTCACTGTATCATTGTTAGTAATCACAATAGAGTAAACACAGCATAAATGCCCATCGATAGAGAACTGGCTAAATACGTTAAGGTACGCACACACATATAGAGTATTACGCTGCCATGAAAAAAAAAACAAGGATGCCTGGAACAGGCTCTTTTGGAGCAGAGGGGGACGGGGCAACTCTTGAGTGCAGCCTCCTGTACTAGAGACTAATATTGCTCACCCATAGAATATGGGAGAATGACATTTCCTTGTCCCCTTAGCTGTCAAGCAGAGCCATATGATGTATCCTGGCCCTAGTGGGTTGAATGGTACCCCCCCCAAAAAATATGTCCACTTCCAAGAATCTGTGAATGGGACCTCAACTGGAAAAAGGGTCTTCACGGATGTGATTGTTACCGCAAATCATGGATTTGAGCCACCTGCCGCAGAAGCCAATCCTGAGACAGGTGAGGTGAGCAGCAACAGGGTTTTATTGTATATCAATATACAGGAGACAGAGGGGAGTGAGCTCCTCCAGAAGACCTGTCTCCCCGACTGGAGACTGGCTGAAGGTTTTATATGGACAGGATTGTAGTTTCTCTTCTGGTGGTCACATTCTGCATGTCCCAGATGATCTAACTTCTTAGTGGGAATCCTTGAAGGTCATCTGCCACCGTTAGTCACAATTGTCACGTCGCAGATGAGTTAATCCTAGTCCTTGAGGGTTATTAATTTGCTCTGCCACCCTCCAAGGAGAAACTGGTTAATCTTACTGGAATAAGAGGAGGGAGAAAGAAGAAGAAAAGAAAGAAAATATCATGAGAAGAAGCGGGGGCTAGTAATGGTGGGAAGCACTGGTGGGAACTGAGCTTATGCAGCCTGTTCCATGATTAACTTAAGGATCTCAGGTTGATTCCAAACCAAAATCAAACCCATTGCTGTCAAGCTGCTTCTGACTTATAGCGACCCGGTAGGACAGAGTAGAACTGCCCCATAGGGTTACCAAGGAGCAGCTGATGGATTTGAGCTGCTGACCTTTTAGTTAGCCACCTGAGCTCTTAACCACTGTGCCATCAGGGTTCCTTGGGATGACTAAATGTGATTAAATTAAGGATTGGGGCTGAGGGGGATGGCAGAGACACGTGACCCCATCCAAGCCAACTGGAAGCCTTTTCCTCAGGAATCTGAAACTTGAATGGAGGGATATCTCACAGGGAGAAAGCAGGAGCCCATGTATTCTCCTTTCGAGGAGCAGCTCCTGGTCCAGGTGGACCCTAAATCCAGTGATAAGTGTCCTTATGAGAGGCAGACAGAGGAGACACACAGAGAGAAGACGGCCATGTGAAGATGGGCAGAGACTGGAATGATGTGGCTACAAGCCAAGGAATGCAGGCAACCGTGAGAAGCTGGAAGAGGCAAGGAAGGCATCTCCCCTAGAGCCTCCAGAGGAAGCACGGCCCTACTGACACCATGCTTTCAGACTTTTGGCCTCCAGAACTGTGAGAATACATTTCCATTGCTTTAAACAACCAGTTGTGTGGTCATTTGTTTCGGTACCCCCAGTTAATGCACACACTGGCCAGTGGGCTGGGGGCAGAGTGGCATATCACTTCCAGGCCAGGTCTCCAAGTGAGGACAACATGGACAGAACCCCTCGCTAGTGTATGATGGACATAAGTGTGGTAGAAATGACCTTGTGGTTTTGCATTGCAAGCATATTCCGGGTGTTTTGTACTGCACCCCAACCCAGCCCATCCTTTCAGCTATGGCCTTTATTTCAGCTGTGGCGTTTGTTCTAAGTTCAGGGAAAGGGGATCCAACCACCTCCCAACTCCTTGCAGCCTTTGCAGGTGGTCAGGGATGGAGATGAGAGAGAGATGCCGGTGACTTTGGTATAGTGCCCCCAAGACCAGGCCCTGAGAGCTGTCAGTGATGGGGAACTGAGAGAATCGTATCTGGGGGTGGGCGGTGGTGGAAGACACCAAGCAGAGTGAGGTGATCAGAGAGCAGAACTCACGGGCCCAGCTCCCTACTTGGCACAGACATTGGATGCAGGGCTGGAGTGACAAGGACAGATGAATGGGGCCCTGGCTAGGGGCTGAGTGCTCTCTCCAAGGACGCAGACTTGTTGCTCATAGGTATAGTTTCCAGCCTGGGGATCTGGCACGGTGACCTTGGCCAGTGGGGAAAGAGAGCAAGAGATGGTTCCTGAATAAGTTGGCCTGCTCCTTTTGATTCAGGAAGTAAATTAACTGCAATTGCAGACCCTGCCCATTGCATCCCCAAGGCCCTGTCCCCCTGACTGCTGAGGACTTTGAGCTGCCTTCTGTCTTCTTCCTTCTTTGGACACCAGCATCACCTTTGTTTCTCTTTTGGAAACTCCATTTTTCCCTGAGCTGGTTCCAGCTGCCCTCTCTGTAGGCACGTCACCCCAGCCAAGCCAACTGGAAGCCTTTTCCTCAGGAATCCGAAACTTGAATGGAGGGCCATCTCGCAGGAAGAAAAGCAGAAGCCCATATATTCGTCTTTCGAGGAATAGCTCCTGGCTCTGGCTCCATCGGTCCTGGGCTCCGGGGAGACTGGACAAGTGATGACGGGCGCCAGGGACGGTAGCCTGAGCTGCCCATCAGAACGCCCATGTGGAAAGACATGTGTGGACAGGGCTGCCTCCCAGCGCATGGTCTAGGGATGTGTGCAAGCAAGCCCCCACTGGGAAACCACAGAAGCCGCCACTGTGCTTGCACCTGCCACACCTCGGCCTCAAGGGCAGTGCCTGTGACCAGGCCCCCAATGACTGAAAACAAGGAGCTTGGTTTCCCACAGGGACAGCCCTGCACTACGTCCCCCTCAGGGCAGCCCTAAAGGACTCTGGAAAAGGAGCCCCAGAGCAGAGCTTCGAGTGCCCACTGCCCACTTTGCCAGGGAAGAGAGACAGCCAAGGTCATCATCCACAGTCCTGGGCAGAGGCCAGAGTTCAGGGATTTGGAAGAGGCAAGATTAGGGGATTGGCACTGGGACGTTGGTGGAAAGGGTAAGGAAGGGGCTAGGGTGGTGGTTCATGTAGGTGACTATGCAAGTCCCAAGGAAAAGCAGAAAGGGCTCCTAACAGCCCATTGGCCAATGACCAGAGGCTGTCACTGTGACCTGTGTCTTGGTGGGTTTTCAGATGTCTATTGGCACAACAGTTAAGCCCTTGGCTGCTAACCAAAAGGTTGATGATTCAAACCCATCCATCATCTCCACAGGAGAAAGACCTGGCAATCTGTTCCTGTAAAGAGTACAGCCTAGAAAACCCTATGGGGCAGTTCCACTCTGTCACATGGAGTCGCTATGAGTTGAAATCAACTTGAGGGCTCCTAACGGCAACATTGCCGCATAACAAACTTAGAGGCTTCAAGCAATCATCAGTTTACTTGCTCATGATTCTGTGTGTCAGGAATTCAACAGGGCACACTGGGGACAGCCCATTCACTTGGCTGCGCTCAGTGGACAGGGCTAAGGGGCCAGACTGAAAGCAAGGGGGAGGGTCTGCCCCCTCCACCCTGAGACCCAGGTCTCTGCTGCACCCGCACCTCCCCAGCCTAGCTTCTGGAGTACCAGCAGTCAGCCTCATACCGCTTG